GTTTTCTAATATATTTTCATAACATTACACTGTTTTGATTATTTTGCAATTTAATCACATATTTTACATTCAAACTCCTTTGCCATCGTCTAACAATTCATTTTCAATTGTTAAAATTGTTTAAGATTTAGAATTGCAATTCCCGAAAAGCAAAATATGACCAACAACATGTTTTGTTATATGAACCCACAAGTTGTCCTATTGAGAAAAACCACTTACATGAACCTCAGAAAACTATGCACCATTTTTCAATCACAATAGCTAGAGAGATGGGCCTTGTGTCATTTTGTAGAGGAGCCTCCGGGCTATTTTTTACATGTTTTAAATATATAGGTTGCTACAGAAAATAAAGAAAGCGCGACGAACTCTTTGAAAGATTGATTATGATGAAACACTGAATCTGGAAGGATTTCCAGCATGTCTTGGATAATATATAGAGTACTCATTTACGTACGTAATGCTGAAATTCGCAGCTCTCTAGCTCTTTCCGGTCTTGATTTATTCCAAAAATACCCACGGCCACTATATTTTTGGACAGGCATTAGGATGTTTTCTGTAGAAAAACTATATTTTTTTCAAATCTACTAGATTGTGTTTTATTTATTCGAATGAAAGATGTTTCGATTGCGGTAATATAAAACAAAAATATACGTCAGTAATAAAGTTTACAAATTTTATTTTATTTAAGCCGTTGTCTAAGACATTTAATATTACTTCTGGTGTTATTATAAAGCCGATGATGAGAAGAATAACGATGTTCATAAATCTCTAATGCTTTGTCATAAGATACGAGTGCCGATACCACATCGTTTATTTCTTCATATAGAGACACTTAATCATCAAGATCGTGAAATGTATTGACTTCATTATTGGATAAATGTTCTTGTTGAATGTGTAAAGCTTCTTGATAAAACTTCAGTGACTCTCCATCCCTACCCATTAATTTGTATGTAGAGCAAATAGTTTCGAGAATATGAACCAAATATGAATAATTAATCGGTTCGGTATTCTTTTGAACTTCTAGTGCTTTGAATCGATATTTCAATGCATCTGCCAAATTGTCATCGTAGACTACAGCAATGTCCTGAAGAATTTCAGGAACAGTATGGCGTTGAGAAGGAGGCTGACATTTTTTTGTCATATCAAGTGATTTCAGATAATAATCGAGAGCTTTTGCTTTATCACCATTCGCGTAATACATTTTCCCAACATAATGCAGACTCCAAGCTGTATCAAGATGATCGGACAACAAATATTTTTGACGAAGTTCTAATGCTTTAATATGATATTTAAGAGCTTGTTCATACTTTTTTTGATGCCAAAAAATTTCAGCAATGTCAGCGTAACTGAAAGCGCCAATAACATGACCAAATGGTAAACATAATTTTCTTATTTCCAAAGCTTTTAGTTTGTAATCAAGAGCGTTCTCATAATCTTTCAGATGTAAATAAACTTGTCCAATACTACTGTAGATTTCTGCAATATAACGATTCATAGTGCCTATTTCTTCCTTTAAAATATCTATTGCTTGTTGATAATAACTTAGAGCTTCGAAAAACTTCTTTTGTTCACAACAAATGAGACCTTTGTTATGAAATATTGAAGATAAGCATTTTCTATGTAACTGACCAGATTTCAAAGTCAACTCATATGCTTTATTAAAATGGTCTAAGGCAAGATCATATTTATCCTCTATTCTCAGAGCAATACCAATTCGATTATGAATATGAGTTATTTCTTCTTCACCAGGATTTTTTAAGAGTTCCTCAAAATATGCCAATGATTTTTTAAGCTTCCCTATTCTTTTCAGTAAAACACCAAAGAATATTTTCGGACTACCATATTCCATTTCTCGTCGATTTTCTTCTATATATTGTTTCGCAACTTCTCGTCCTTTTTCAGTAGCTCTTAATTGAACTATATAATAATTAGTATTATCTTCCTCTTCTTCTATGATTTTCTCAATTTGGAAAATTGAACCCGCATCAAACAAGAATTCCTCTTCTATCGGAAATTCACTTAAATTCGATATATCAGCAAAGATAATCGAATCGTTTTGATTCGTTAAATCGCATTCTATTTCAAATAAGATCGGAATACCACCTGAACGACACCATTTCTTCGCAAATGTAAGTGCATACGAACGATTACTACTAGTAGACCAATAACCGTTAGCTGCAATGAGTTTTCCTCTCTTTCTCTTCAGTGCTTCTATTTCTTCGTTAGTAAATAACGTTCCACGATATAAACAGATTTTTTCTCGTCTAATGTTGTTCTTGCTGAATTCATAAGCAAGTTGTTTGGATAAATCAGCAATATAATAACGAAATGTATAAAGTTGTTCAAGATCTTCCGTCCGCAAGGCTTTATTAATCAGTCTATAGACGAATGTGTCTTTTGTATACCAACGAATACAATCATCAATATGATAATTCTGTTCAAATTCGTCAATATTTTTCAAGATTTTATGATTATCTCGATAGTATTGACGACAAGTCGTTACCATTTCTTCTTTTGCTTTGTCATCGTGTGGTAAATGCTGAATAGCGTCGTTGAATACTTGGTACCTGTAGAACGAAAATCAATTCGAAAAATAAAATTAGTTCGATCAAGATTACCAGAGAAATTCAGCAGATTGCTCCGATAAATCGCGAGTACCTCGCTGATTTTGATCATAAAACGAAACGACTTCTAGTTGTCTATTAATATATTTAAGATTGTCTTTAATGGAGTGAAGAAGTTCATTGTGATTATCAAAAATATTCACAATTTTACAATAATCATCACGTAAACGACTGAAATCTTCTCGATTCTCTGGAAAAATAAAGACTGAATCCAACTGTGAAAGATTAATAATAGTTGGAAGCATTTTAAATGCATTGTTGCCTGATATAATAAGAAAAATCTTTTCCGTCATCACTGATTTGATATATGCAATGCATGAATCAATATCGGTAGGAAAGAGAACAAAATTGTTAACAGCCTGAAGATTTTCCTGAAGTTTTTCAGTATCATCAGTTGTGTTCATAACAGAATCGAACCAGATAAGCGTTACATTTTCTTTATTGTCTTGAACAGAATCGATGGTAGTTGATGATCTCATTTCTGACATAGGTTCAGCTTCAAAATTGATACTGTTTTCCAGAGACACCTGTCTGATCTAAAAAATAAAATCATTTGATTTTTTTGCATATATGCAAAAGAATTTAAATGCATTAAATAGTTGATTTTAACTCAGCAGTGGACAATTGGACCAGTCAATGAGGAAATTGTTCCCGTTTACAGAGAAATCCTTCACCCTACATGAAGTCACACATATTAAGGACAAATGGAAAGAACGACTGTAAATATATATGCATTATTTTCTGTTCTTCTACATGCATTTCAATTCAAGCAGAAATCGTTTATTTTAAGGAGGAATGCTTTCTCAAGCAGAAATGGAAAGAAAAAATTGCCTGACAGAAAATTTCATTCTTTATAAATCAGCATCATTGCTACCCACATATCATCAGACTAAAACGCAAAGTAATCGGTGTCTATCAGGCGTATTAATTTACCTTTCTGTACCTCTTATACTAAAAGAAAACATGTGAGAGAATATTGACATTTATAGAATAAAGTAAGATTACTGACAACATTTTTATTGTTTCAACACAAAATACATAAATTCTTTATCTTATAAAATAAAGATAAACGAATTTTTTCCTTTTAAAAACTACAGATCAACTAAATAATAAGAGACAAATTGCTTTTCCTGAAAACCGCTAGTTTTATTTCGACACAGATTACTCAAAAAAACTGCAGTATTACACATCCAAATGAAATATACACGTAAGCTTTTATGTACACATCTTTTCATATCTCATCCACACATTTTTACAACAACATATACGAAACTATATCCAATGGAAGGCAAGAAAGTTGATAAACATATCCTACTCTTATATCAAGTATTGGAATTTTTTGCCCAGCCTGTATATCAGCATCTTCTCAAGCGGCGGCTTCCAATAGTCAATATTCATCAAATCCATTGACAAAGATTGTTTTATCCATATCAATAAGCTAGACTAATTTAACATCAACAATCTTTTCTTTTTTCTCATAAATCTTTCTTCTTGTTTGAGAAAAATTCGAATCTTTCTTAATTTATCTTTTCTCGTCAATAATCACTATCAACATTGAATACTTCAAGAAGAAGAAAGCATGAGTGGCGTTAAGGCCAATTTTTATACCCAGACATTTTCAAGAAAAAACTATATGTGCGTTAGAAATGGTTAGAAAAGCTGTTAGCGCAATCCCTTGCGGGATTAAAAATGTGAAACACGATATAGCTGCTATAGCCGATGTTCGAAAAGCTGTTGTTTTTGCATATTGGGGTACATTCCTTCATAATAGGTTACCTTACATTATAGACTTTCAACAGGTTAATACTCCATATATGCTTCAATCATATGTTAGTTATGCATCATCTCTGATATTTCTTTGAAGTCTTCTGTGACAGTCTAAAATGACCCTCGACCCCTGTCTGTCACTGTCTGTGATGGATCCAGAGACCTGTCTGTCACGGTCTGTGATGGATCCAGAGACCTGTCTGTCACGGTCTGTGATGGGTCCAGAGACCTGTCTGTCACGGTGTGTGATGGGTCTAGAGAGACAGTCCACGGCTCAGTCGAGAAATCCAGTCATACGAAAAAAATTGACCCCCTTTTTTTATGATCGCAAATGAAAGAGCATGTAAAAAAACCAAAAAATCCAAAATTTTAGCCTTCTCTGACAAACTCTTAGATAACTATGAAAGCAACATTGAAAGTCCGTTCATAAAGTTGTAAAATAATGATGATACTTTTTCTGTTTCCAGTTTGCGATTATTTTTTTTTCTAAAAGTCAATCAATTTAAATTGAATTGTATCTCAAAAGATAGAGCAAGTTTCGCTCTACAAAACTGTATATTTAGATTTTCCTCAAATGACTTTTAAACATATCTGTGGCGAGTAAATATATGAAAAACGACACAAAAATTTTGAAAACTTTTTGCAGCGTTTTAGTATTTCGATAAAAAAAAATATCAAAAAGTATTCGGGCCGACCATAGTTTTTTATGGATTCGATAGAGCGAGAAAAACTGCATAAGATGCACGTAAGAAAGTTTCAAAAAAATTAGCACATAGTACTTTAATTTAATTCAAAAGATAAAAGAAAGTCATCCTTATATAATACTGTTTTATGGTATTTTCGAAATTTGTCAATCAAACGACAATATTACTAAGGTTTTTTTTCAAGCTGAAGATCAAGTGATATTGAACGTCTAGAATTAATCTGCTACGTTAGTTCTATAGTCGATCTAGTAAGATATTATATGTAACGATGGTTTCTTTTATACTCTCTATAGATCTGGTATATGTAATATTCACTACTGTATAATACCGTTTAGACTAAATATTCAAATCGTACATTATGTTATTTCATTAAAAAAATGCTGTTGTTCCTATCTACTTTTTTTGCTGCATGTTTTAAAAGTAAAACGTTAGTATAATGTTCATTTTTTGAAGAAGGACTATGTATCTTTATTGTCCCTTTTTTCGCGGAAATCTAGATGATTTTCTCGTGTGTGATAAATTTTCGTTTTCAAATGACGATAATGCTCGTTTTGACGTAGCCGTAGCTAAGTTAATTTCGGCCATATTGTCTTTATTGGCTGTCGATCGAATATCACCAAGCTGAAGCTCTAAATCGATGGCCAGCTGTTCTTGAAATGCTTCGTCTTCAATATCCTCTTCACTATCATATTGTTCACCGGTTATAAGACTATTGTCTTCCAAGGTGGATGGTTTTGGATTATTTACTTTGTCGTTGTTTGCTTTTTGTCGCGAGAAGAATGATCGAACTGTGCTCACTTTAACAAGCTCAGATAGATCAAAAAGATAAAGCTCTGTCTCTGGATCTTGACTGTATTTCATTTCATCGACCACTGCCTGAGGCTGCCATCGTATTCCATGTAGTTGACCATCATCAAATTTTTTCTTTAGAAATTGCTTTACTTTCGGAGATATTGTCTGCACTTTTCGAGTTAATGGGAGAGCACATCCTTGGTTTAATGTTGGTATATGATTGTAATCATCCCGATTGAAATTAATTCTCTGTAATTCAAGAAATAAAAGCTGTTGGTTCTCAGCAGCATCTAGCTTGGACTTATAAGTAATCATTGCGAGATCTTTCATTGATAATTTTTCGACTCGTTCAATATGATTACCATTAACTATATGATGAAGAAGATTACCATAGTTTAGGAAGCGACAAATACATCCTTCGTAATCACAAAAGAATAATTTTGGTTTCGACTTTTCTTGATCGTTAGCATCAACATCTTTGGGTACTGATGACTCGGTATCATTCAGCCGATCGCCTACAGAAGAATTTATGAGTCGATTTGGTTCCAGAGAAGGATTAATGCAAACGAGAGAATTAATATTCGGCGAAATGCGTGAATTTCCATCAAGCATAATCATCTTACCAATGCCTATATTCCAAGCGCGATACGAACGAATAGCAGTCGATTCATAGATAAAATTATGTAGTTTAGTGATATCGTTAATTTTAACTTTAGTTTTCGAACGAGTAGGAGTCATTTCACATTCAAATGCATGAACATTTTTCACACCACCATGCGAAGCACATGCGGCTACAAATTGAGCAGCTGTTGAAACATCGTGTCCTTCGTTTAAATAACGGCGAACGTGTGACTTTAAAACGGCAGCATATCTATCTGATGGACCTGTTTCAAGATAATAGCAATAGTTAGGACACACACAAGATCAGACGTACCTTTTCCACCTTGTGGATCTGAAAAATCAAAACGTTTTATTGTAATGCCGGTATTTTTCGATAAATAAGGCAAACTCAAAATGGTCTGTGCCGAATGGTAACACCCGGCATTATCTGATCTTATGTAAGCACTTTCAATCGTCGGATTGCATGCTTTTACTTTCACAAGAATGTCTTGCAGAATAGACAGTACTGCATCACTATCTTGTGTCACTTGATCAAATACATGCACAAATATGGTATGATCAAGAGCAATCTTTTTCATCGTTTCTTTTTGTTGTTCTTCAATGTCTTCGTTATCAGTGTCACTTGACATCTCATCCTCTTCGTCGACATAAGCATCATTATTACCTGGTTTTGTTGACACAACCGTAATGTGCCAGCTAATTCCCTTTTTACCGAAAAATGCAGCTTGTCCCTCTCGGTATGAAAGAGGATTCCATCTGTAAAAGAACCAAGAATAACAACTGTTTCTAAATTAATTTTTCTCTAATTTTAAGTTGTATTTTTGTTGAAACTAACTATCTAATTCTGTTTCAAATTATATGAAAATAGATATTCGTTCTTCGTTTACTATCACAGACTTCATCTGTTTGACACATTCAAACACTATAAAGATAATACAAAGATGCATGTATATATTTATCTCTCAGAGATTTCATTTTTCATTTCTAAATGTTAGGTAGTTTGCTTATTGATAACCAAAATCAATTATATCTTTGTAGGTCTGATTGCATTTTATCATGCAGCAGCACCTGTCGAATAAATGGGAAAAAGAGAATATACGTTTGAGAATTACTCAAAGAATAAGAATCTGTTCGATCTTTCAACAGTAAACATTCATTGATAACGCTATTTTAAAAATCCTGTTGAATAAGTTATAAGAGACATAATATTGATAGATATCTCAAATGCAACAGCGATCAATATAACCTCATTATCATCTATATATAAATATCATCACATTTATATGAAAGTAAAATTGATTTGATAAGATAATCTTTTATTCAAGTTATCTTAGATATAATTATCCTTTCTCATATCAAGAGTTTTGTAATGTACTTTACTAAATTTTTCTTTATTATATACATCTTAATAAAAATTAGAATATAAATAAAGTATGTTTGTTTTCTCGATGGTGAGACAACTACGCTAATTATTGAATAGGCTTTGTATACTAAAACAACTTACTTCATTGCCCAATCTAAGTTCAAAAATATACTGTTGGCAGACATTTCTTGTAAAACATCTGTTCGGCATTGGTCCTGATTTACACAGCGTAGTAAATGGGCTTTCCATGCTAATATAGATTCCAAAAAATCATCGTAATCGTATATTGTCCGATCGATAACTTCTTGTGATTTATACTTTTGTATTGCTTCTTTGATGTCAAAAATAACACTCTTAAGATTCGTACATTCTATGCAAGTTTCATCGTGATTGTGATCGCATGAGGACGAAAAAAACTGAGAATGCCTTTCGCTTAGTGCAAATAAAATACAATGATCAGGAACACGTGATGATCGGCTTACATGAAGTTTAAAGTCAGATTTAAGGTATTGTTTTGCGCGTTGTAAATCTGTAGTTAGTCGTGTTTTTTCGTGAACATCGATCAAAAGATTTTCAATCATACTTTTTAAACCTTCAAAAGCAGTGACTCCATCTGCCACGAAATTATTCAAACCTTGAAGAGCTTTGTGTGTTGACGCTTTACAACAGTCTAGAATTTTATATAATGAGGACGAACCCAGTGGTGAAGGGTGTGGGTGTGGGTGTGAACAGCTACCATAATCTAGATTTCACTGCAACTACGCAGATCATCAGATGGCAAAGAATCTTAATGATTATAGAAAATCACAAGATCAATTTATAACTAATATATATACACATACAAAGACATATACATATATTGATAAATATCAATCGCCGTTGTGTGAACAGCTACCATAATCTAGAACTGATTGCATCATTTATCGTTTTGCGATGGTTTTGTTAAAAGGTTACTCATATGAGTTTATCTGAAAAGAAAAGAAACTGAAATAATTAGGATTTGAAATAATAAAAGAATTGTTTTTGTTTTCGTGAATAGTTTTATTTTTATTGGCATAGTATTTGTTTAAAATTAAGTGAAGGAGAGAATAGTGAATGTTGAGTTTTGTATTTATATCTTTATTGTGCAGTCGATTGTTGTGGTTTGATGATTTTTGGATATTGATGGTTTGTATGTTCAGTTTGCTAGTTTGGTTGCAAGTGTCTTTTGTGCTCGTTTGTTTTTTTTCTTTTGTTGTCCTAGTGGTCAAGAAAATGGAATAACGTTAGTACGTTGCTTGATGTCGATAAATTTTTGTATTTGTAGAAATATATTTATTTTTTGGAGACTTACTTTTAGTGATTGTGTTCTGCAATAATGTTTGTTTAGGTCGCTTACGTATCAGTTCATTTTGTGTATCCCGACGATTTCTATTGCCCACAACAAGTTTTGCATGGATAGCTGGTGTGTCTTTAAAGATATCTTCATACACTCGATGCATGTTTTGTTTGTATGATTTAAAACGTTTTTCATGTGTACGATGAACAAATAGTTTATTTCCAAAATTAGTTTGTTTTGTCTCTGGTTTCTTTGGAATTTCTGTTGGTCCTATTGGTTGATCATCTGTTTGATCGTTGTCAATGTCGGCTGTAGCGGCACTCATTGCCACTTGTGATTGTCGTGGTGTTGGTAGATCTAATAGTTTGTTACGCATGAGAATAAATTCCTTTTCATTATTGATTAATGGTAAAAATGGTGATGTAGATATATGTTCAGAAAGATGTTTGTGAAATTCCTTTTCAATGTATGTTGATGTATAACTAAATAATGCATATGATTAATAGCAAAAGAAAGTTTTTATGATATATATGATAGAGACTTACCCATTATATAATAACATTAGTTTAATATAACGTCGTTCATTATTAAATACTTCAAATGTCGATGAATATCTTATAGCACGTGTAAGAGAAGTTTTGATAATATTCGTGAAAACATGTCGCGGATGATCAGATATAAATGGTGTAACATAAGGTTCAGTTGCTGGTTTATGATAAACAGATGTTGATAGAATACCATTATTATTCGTAAGAAGAACATCGAGAAATGGAAGACTTTTGCCGATTTTATAATCTAATTTAATATTTGGATGCCATGTATTTGCTTCATCTAATAAAACTTTTAATTCATTTTCAGATTTGTTCCAAGTCATAAATATATCATCAATGTACCTAGAAAAATAATTTGTATAATAATCATATGTTTTTCTTTCTAGTCACTTACCGGCCATAAAATTCACCCGTCACAGTTTGTTCATCAATAATTTTTTTTTGCCATTCCCACATGAAAATGTTCGCTAAAGTTAATGTAAATGATGAACCCATAGCACCACCAGTTGTTTGTTTATAAATTTTTTTACCATAAGCAAAAACATTTTCTTGAAGTACAATGGAAGCTAATTTTCTTATCGTATCAAGATTAATTCCTTTCACTTTTCTATAACCATGTACATGAAGAAATGTCATAAGACTATTCAATGCTTGTTCTTGTGGTAACATTGTATATAAATTACGAATGTCAAATGTACAAAAAAGAGTTGTTGGTTTTAAAAGACCTTTCTTAGTATAATTTGAAAGTTCTGTAATTAAAGACGTACCATCGATTATTGTTGTTTCTTTACATTTGTTATCGAATATGGGTCGTCATATTTTATCTAATAATTTTGAAATTTTTGTAGTTGATGCATGAATAGTATTTTCAATTGGTCGAACAGGTATGCCATCCTAAAATTTTAAATTATCGAATAAAATAAGAGATGAAACATCAATGGAAAAACTTGTACTATACCTTGTGTGTTTTAGGATTAAAATATAAATGAGCTAATTCACATTTTGTTCGATCTGGCATCATTTCTTCATATTGCCATTTCCATATGAGTTTTTTTGAATATAATTTATTAAGTAATTCAATGACTTTATCTAATATTTCATTGAATGGATTGTAAGATAATTCGATGAAAGCATTTGTATCAGAGAAAAATTTTTCAATTTTTTTTTCAAATTCAATAGCTAAACCAATATAAAAATTATGACCTTTATCAGTGAGACGGATGATAAGATCCATATTTTTTATTATTTGTCGAATTGATCCTACGATTTGTGCTTGTTCGAGAGCTTGTAATTGATCTTTATATGGTAATGGAGTAAAATAACTATGATTAAGGTAATCAAGAAGATGATTTGAATATTCTTTGAAAATTGGTTTTGTTCGTGGTATACAATGAGGTTTCTCCACGAGATGATTTTCAACTTTTTTATAAATATCTTTATGTTCATCTTTTATTCCAGTTAGTTGTTGAGATTTAGGACGAATGGCACTTTGATTTAATCTTATATAAGATGGGCCTAAAATAAATTTAAGAATAAAAAGAATTTGTTATATTCTAGAAAAGTATGATCTAACCAAGTGAAAGATAATTCCATTGACGTTTATTAAATGGATTAGAAATTAGATCGAGATATGGTTCAGGTGAGACACCAATAGTATGTCCTGTTGATGTTGAACGTTGACGATTTTAAAGTACGATTCTTCGAAAAGATGACATTTTATCATAAATGTCTTTTTTTAATTTATTTATTCGATATTCTATATATTCTTTGATAGTATTTAACATAGTTGGACCATTTATAATGCTCTTATCTAATAACTGTGATTCCAATTTATTGAATTTATTTTGATATTGTTCTTCATATTCTTGTAATTTAATTTCATAAATATTTAAAAAATAATTTAACCATATACGTTTTCCTTCTTGTATAATTTTATAATGTTTGTTTTTAACTGCTACAATTTTTTCATTATTGTTCAATGGTAGATAAGCAATAGGTGCAATGAAATTTTCCAAATGATTGAAATTTTGTGGTAAAAATTTACAAAGAATTCGCATTTCTAACATAAGTTGTTCTTGCCAGATTTCCGCTTGTTTTTGTCGTATAGTAATTAATTCATTTGTATAATCATCCTGAAAAAAGAATTATTTAATACTAAAAAAATATATCATTGGTTAAAATCCATTTAGATTTACTTGTTCATTGGTTTTAGGAAAATAGGTAGATATAGTTTTAAACAGATCTTTTTCATAAATATCATCGTTAAATTTAATCAATTGTTTATTGTTTCTTTTTGATAAATATTTTCGTTCACGATTCACTAATTCTTTAAGCCGATGTTCGATTTGTTCAAATGATAATTCTATGATTGGACATGTTCGAAATTGCTGTTTTGCCAATTCTAATTGATATTGATTTAATTGTTTTTTGATGTTTTGTATATAATTCATTAAATACTCTTTACATAAATCGAAATCATTTGTTTTTGCCATTGTATACAGTTGATCCTTTGTATTTGAAAAAAAAAAGAAAAAAAAGTATTATAAGAATGAAATAAGAAGAAACAAACTCACTGGCCATATGTGTTGTTGTATACCAATATCTAAATACGATTGCCATAATTCTTGATCTCTTTCTAGACAATATTGTTGATCTAATAGTTCAAGTTGTAAATATATAAATTGTTGTTCATCTTTTTTCTTTAATGAATAATTTAAAGTTTTATTTAATATTTGACAAAGTATGTGTGATGATCGTGTCAAATACATAGGACGTCTACAAAATGAAAAATATATGTAATCGAAAATTGTGTTGTTAAAATTTTGAAAACGCATACCGATAATTTGTATTTCTATTCATATCACTATTATTCGCATTGATTATTGGATTAGTGATTGTTTTTGATAAATTCTTCATTTTTTTTGATGATAGTTGTACAATAGATATTGAACTTGTTGTTTCTGGTATTGTTATATTTGTTTTTGATAATTCTTGTAATGATATATCTCGTTTACGTTTATTAAGATCTGTTGTTGTTGTTATTGGTTGTGATTGATTGTTTTTTCGAATTGTTAATTCTATATTAGTATTTGTCGTACGTCTTATAAAGTTATTTTTTTGATTTTTCTTATGAATACAATTTCTTTTCTTGATTAGCTTTTCCATTTTTGTAGGTTTCATTTTGTGAGCTCGACATTTTCTTCTAAAACGTTGATTTCTTCGATTACCATGACACTTTTTTTGTTGTAGTTGTGGTTGTTGATTTAAAATTGGAACATCATCGTGTCTGTCCATATCGTTGACATTCATTATAAACAGAATGATCTGTATGTATAATAAAAACTAGTCAATTTATCTGAAAAAGAAAAAGAAAAATGACAGGAGGACTCAAATTGCTACTAAACTAATGAAACTACAAATAATGTGAAATATTCAATTTAGAATTAGAATTAAGATTTCATAAGAATAGATTGAGATCTGAAGTTATAGATACATTTAATACGTTCACTAATTTTATTACAACGTTGATTGATAAGGTGAATCATGATTGAAGATATTCTTTCTTTTTCATCCAATGAGTCTTTAGACGAATTCATTTTCTGTTCATCAATTTCATATTTCTTCTTATATTCTTCTCGTTGATCTTCAGCTGATTGCAGATAAACATCAAATAAAGCAGCTCTCAATTGTTCGGCAACTTCTTTATATTGTTTAAATAATTCTTGCCGAATAGTTGCATTTTGAATAGAATTAATTAATGGACAATGAGCTATTGGTGAACATTCAAATGATTGATTTGGTAAATTATAATAAGCAATTTGTTGTTTCAAAAAATGATATTCTTGTTCTGATGTTTCTTTTTCATAGTTACTTTGACAAACTTGTTTCATTAATTCTTTCTAAAATATTTTTTGATTAAGTCAACAGAAAATTTTTTTATTTTGCGAAAAACCTACTTGATATTCATTTGGTTTATGTCGAAAATACTCTAATTTCAATGCTTGAATATGATAATCATAATGAATAAGTTTCACTTTATATTCAATTTCCATACGTAAAGAATGAAGATTTTGTTCAATATATAATTCAATGATTTTTTGTATAGTTAATGAATAACCTTGGAAATTATTGGCTTTGATATTCAATTCATTTTGATATTGTTTTAATTGATAATCTAACTCATCTAAATGTTTATTAACAAATTTTAAAAGAGTATCATTTTCATGCGTCTTATCCATATTTTTTGACAGTAACATTGCTTTCAGTTCTTTTGGCCATATTGGTACATTTATTGAATAGGATACTTGTGTTTTAGCTGGTATAACTAATTGTCCCATACCTGATTTGAAATAAGCCGCCCATAATACTTGATAAGTTTGTATAACCATTATTTTATAAATTAAAATAGCTATTTTTCTTAATTTATCTATTGAATCAGTAGTATCACCTAACTTTGTTGTTGATAATGGTTGTGTATTTGTTGTTATTGCTGTTTTTGATAATGCTTGTTTCATTATTTCCAGGAAAGATTTATTTCGTTTTGTAAGATAAGCTGGAATTTTTTCAATTTCCGCTTTGATATCTTTCAGCAACAGTTCATTTTTCTCTATCGTATTCGTAGATAATTGACTTAATTTTTGTGATAAATTTCCTACTTCCATTGGCTGAAAAAAATGAAATACATATTAGAATAATGTACGTCAACGATTTTTTAAAGCAATATTTACTTCAATTTTGTCTATTGATTTATTTTTATCTTTTTGATTCCATGGAAGATCAATACGTATTTTATCGAAATATTGTAAAGTTTCATTCTATAATCAGAAGCAAAAAGAGAAACTAATATCTTAAATATAGATATCAAGTTTTTTAATATTACCTGTTGTTGACTACATGAATTTTTATTATTTGTTGCCATTGTTAATAGATGAAAAGAATTTATCTAGAATAAAAGAAATGAAGTAAGAAAGAAAAATTAGGAAAGAATCTACAATGATTTATAGTATTTTATTCATAATAAGTAACTTTTGTTATTCATCGTGTATTCGCAGGATAGTTTGGACGAGATACTGTATCAATGTTCAATTTTTTAAAATTAATATCTCTTCCATAACAATATTGCAATAAACATTCAAAATCTTGTTTAAATTGAATTAATTGTTGTTCCTTGAATGGACAATTTAAAAAGGATGTCTGGGGTTCAATTGGCTGCTGTTGTTGTTGTTTGATTTCCGAAGCTGTTTCTTTTTGTAGAATGAAACGAGCAAAATGGCGATCGCAATTATATTGATTTATGTCGGCATATTGTCTGGTATCATAGTAGAGAAGTCGATCTTTATATTCCATTTGTGCTATAATTGAAGTGATTGAAAGATTGTGCCATTTAATAATAGATTCAATATAATTTATTTCTGTATTGAAAGAACTTTTTGTAGAACAATAAGCTATCGCGCGTAAAAGAGCCATACGAATGGTTGATATAACCATATTTAATGGATAATTGGATAAGGGAATAAGTGAATACGGATCTACTAATGTCTCACGATTAACACGATTATTGATATGACCATATTCATGAGCAATAGTAGCTTGAAGATAATTGACCTTTTCACCTATAGAATATCGTATTCGAAGGCGAGGAGACTGATTATTAGCCATTGTTTTTAATAAATTGTATAATTCATAATCCGATCCATTCCATGTCAGAAACGTTTCATCGAAACATCTACATGATTCAAGTAATAAACAATCTATTTATTTACAAAGAAAATATTTTTCATTCTTACCTGCCAAATATTTCTTTTTTCTCCATTAGAATATTAACAAAATTTTGTTGTCGATAAAACATGTTAATATTAACCAATAGTGTATTTAAACATGGACCAGAACTACAACAACTATTACCTTTAATTTGTCGATAAACTTTGTTCTCAAAAACAAAATATTGATTTGCTAAGAAGACTGTTACTAGTTCAAGGATAGTTTCGATTGTTACTCCTTGGATATGACGATCAGATACATATTCATTAAGAAAACGTTCCAATGATTGAAGAGTATATTGATGTGCAAATATTGTTGATAGATTATCAATCGAAAATGTTGCAAATAAAGTCTTTGATTTCAATGAACCTTTTTTAGTGTATAATTCAACGGCATCAACAGCATCGATACCTTCAATAAATGTCATTGATTTTGTTACTTCTTCATAAATTGATTGTAGAAGATAGAAAAGAAAACGTGAAAGCGCCATTGTAGGTCCCAGGCAACAAGTCATATGAGCACGAAATGGTACATCTTCCTAACAGAAATAATCAGGAGTCAGAACAGTCAATCAAGAGAAAAAAAAGAAGAAAAATTATCGAAAGAAATTACGTACGTATCGTGTATCTGGTTGGAAAGAAAGAAAATTCAATCGAACTCTTGCTGGATCCATTTGCATTTGTTGTAATTGAAGTTCGGTAATACAATGACGTTGAAGTAGATCATCTAATACGTTTTTCAATTGATTCATAATCGTATTTAATAAGTTTCGAACATAATCACTATCAGTTTCATGAAGATTTTGTATAAGTAGAAAAGTTTCACTTCCAGAAAAATAATCAGAGACTTTTTGTTTCATTTCATTGATATGGCATACGTAATAGTGATGAGTATTATAGACTTTCAGTAGAAGATAATCTCGTTTTCTTAATTGAGAACGAATCGTATTAATATTGCCTCGTCGAATATAAAAACTTGAATGTGTTTGATTTTCATCAGAGAATATGGGATAATTTCTATAAACCTGAATACGATCAATTTGTTGTGTCTGCTGCTCTATATCGTTGTCATGTATTGATATCCAATCGTCTTCATTACTTTCATCATCAATTTCTTGAATGATGATTTCAAGTGATGGACCATATTCTTGAATAGTTTGAAATAATGTATTTCTAAAGTAACTCATTAGATAAAGTAAATGTTCTGAAATAAAGAATAGAATAAGATTGATATGAAATTTCTTACCTATAGAAAAATGGAATATTTTTCGTATTCGTCTTCGGCTCTTGTTGTTGTTCTTGAATTCTATGTAGGAGTGTCATCAATACGTTTTCTTGTTCATTTTCATCACTATCATCATCCTCATTCGAAGAAATAATGCCATTTCTTTTGCCAAAGAAGCCAAATTGCCATGATGTCTTATCTAGATCAATTGATTTCCAAGGTAAAACCTAGATAAAAAAAAAAGATGCTCTAGTGTATTCTAGTTCAAGTCAGCTTACTTTTTCCTGCGGATGTTCAAAACGCTGCATCCATTCATAATAAAGTACTTGTTTTGATTGCTCTGATTGTTGTTCTTGTTCTAATTGTTCCAAATAAATTTCTATTTCGTCATAATGTCGTTTCTGACGTATCTCTTCTTCCTGCTCAAAGTGTTCAATTTGTTTCAATTGTTCTCGATAATCGTCATCGATTTGTTTAAATTCCAATTGTTCTGTTCGTTCCAACTCTTGGATTTGTTTTTGTTCCGTAGATTCCATCTCTTCATAATAATGATCTAAACATTCGTAATCTTTGAGTTTTTCTTCGAGATCCATATTAAAGCGTTGTTCAAAAGCCATATTTTGAAGTCGTTGCTAACGTTGTTGTTCTTCTCCTTCTTGAGCTGATAATATACGTTTTGATTTTATTCGATCATGATGTTGAAGTTGGGATGTCTGTTGTAAACGATTCCGGTTTCGATTCATCGAGTAGTGTTGATAATAATCTTAATATTTAAGTTGACAGTAAAGCTAAGATGAGTAAGATGAAGTAATGGTGTATATTTTATGTTCGAATAAAGATGAAGTCTTCAATCGGATGTACACGAAAAAAAGAAAAACGATACCCTGTCTGCTGTTGTATATTGTTAACAGTGTCAGAATTAAAGAGACTAACCTGGTCGATGAATGAATAGCAGTTGTTCGACAGATAAATAGTAGTTGAATTGAATGAAGTGATGAATGTATGCTGTTGCTTCATGTTTATATACCCTTTCGAAGGATGAATCATATTCAAATAGTGACCGGTCACTTCATAAGAGTACTCAGTTGTCTACATAAAATGACCGGTCATTTCCTAGAAACTGAGTATGTCCATGTATATAAAGTGACTAGTCATTTCTTAGAAATTGAGTACGTCCATTTATATAAAGTGACTAGTCATTTCTTAGAAATTGAGTACGTCCATTTATATAAAGTGACTAGTCATTTCTTAGAAATTGGTATGTATATTGTCTCATAGCAGCATTATTTTATGTACGTTTCGCGTAGTTGCCTTCAAGTTTTATAGATGTTAGGAAAGAATTGAATAGAATCTAGGAGAGGCATAGTCTTTCTCATGACATTGTAATTACCGTGTTTGACAGTGATACAGCCAGTCAAAGACACATAAAATTCTTTTTTTCATTGAATCCAATAAGGTTCATTTTGCGAAATATTTGGTTGGTGCAAAAGCCTTTGCTGGTTTTTTTTTGATAATCTCATAAAATCTCTCCCAATATTATGCATGTGTCTCTTTTGTAAACATCATAATACTTGAGCAGTGTTATAAAATGATCTTGATTAATATATTCTCAAGTATCGATATCTTAGATTAAAACATGTACGAGATTTCCTATTCATGTTCAACACTGTATCTTCTATGAGTTCCAACTCAGCAAAAATCTAAGCGCTACTGTCAACAATATTTGTATTGCCTTTAAGAAAGCACAGTTGTTGAACGCACATGTCGTGCCTGGCTCAAAAGATTTCGAAAAAGTGATATATATGACTGGAAGTTTAATCAATGTCTGAATGACTTCTCGAGTGTGATCTGGAACGATTATAAGTCCTAGTAGAAGACAATCTATATCTTACCACTCATGCGTTGTCAACAATGTTCGGCTGCAATCGATTCATCATTGAACACTACTTGCAGCAAATAGGTAGCAAGCTTGCCTCACAAATTCCACATCATATTACACAGGACAACATGGAACCGTAGATCACCATCTGGAACACTTAACTATCAAAGCTAAATCACCAGAGATGATTTTTCCAGCAGATTGTCACTAGTGATGAGAATGGGATCCTCCATGTTAACTATACACGCAAGCACTTATGTGTCAATAGAGGAGATTTACCGGAACCAGCGCCGAGAAATGACTTGCGTCCGAAAAAATATAATACTATCAGTCTGGTGAGATTTTCAAGGCATAATCTACTTCAAGTATCTTCCTCCTGACACCGTAGTTGATTTCGAGCTCTACGACAAACACCTCTAAAATTTGAAGACTATTCGGAAAAGCCAACTATCCAGAATAGCACAAAATTTAGTTGCGGGGTGTGGGTGTGGAGAAAGCTGCCACGACGCGTTTCGACTGATGCTCAATGAGACTCATCCCTAGCTTCTATAGAAGGAATAGTTTTAAAATAAAGAGTCAGCTTTCTAAGTATTTGGATGTCTATTTAATTTCTCTATAGCTGCTTAAGTTCTACTGATACATTTAAGTTTCTCATAGCTATGTAAGTTCTGCGCAGCTATTTAAGTAAGGAGTCAGTTGTAGTGTAGCAAGTGTAGAATCTTCTCAGTATCGCATAGTTCGAATGCAACACTTTAGATATACTTCTTATGATACCTCGTAAACGCAAGAGAAAACAACCGTATAAAAAAGAACACTCTTGTTATACATCCTAAAAACTGAAATCCTGAGACATAATTGTAATGAACGAGTACAATTCAGTCTGATAGCGACAGCTATATTTAAAATCGTAAACAGTATCATTAGCTGATGCCTTCGATACAGACTTCGTTTATCGAAAGAGTAATCAGACACACGTAACTGCAATCCATTTCTACGCTTATCAATGTTTCTGAACCGCTATTGTATATCCACCACTATAACAACTGAAACATATAGAAAAAAACTAGGGGTGCGAAGTTACCGTTCCCGGACCGTTCCCTGGGAACGGTAACGGTAACGGTTACAGGAGAAACAGTTACCAGTTCCCCGGTAACTGGTAACGGGGTAGTTACCAGTTACCAGGTAACTAGTAACTGTTCCGTTACCAGTTACCCGGGAACGGTAACGGGGAGTTACCAGTTCCCAGGGAACGG